GAAAGTTTTTGCCTTGGAGGGAGGCACTACCCAATCAAGAAGGAACATAAAATCCTCGTTGGCTTCGGTGGCCTCCACAGATCAAGCCATTTTAGAAATTGTAGTGTTTTGACTTGACATTTAATTCCAGAGTTTCTTACTAAAACATTCATACAGTCCCTCTCTCAGGAGCTTTTAATCTGGCCTCAGAGAAAAGTCAGCGGCATAAGCACTGTGGCTCTGTATACTCCACACTCTTGCTTTCCTTTCCCAGCTCTTCCAACAGGTTCCTCATATAATATCCTTTCCTATTGTGGCTCACAAAGTCAGGAAAATTGCACAGATTTATAATGAGTGGTTGATGATAGTAATGTTATTGTGAAGGAAGTGCTCAGGGACCAAATACTAAATAAATGGAATCTGAGCAAGTAAAGCATAGAGAGTCAGTTTGGAGGTCATCTTAAATCCTCATTTCTAGGGAGGGGGTATAGTATCAAGAATCTGAAAGTGCCAGAGGCAACAGCTATGTATAGAGGAGGAAGTACTTACATAATACACATTTTGAAAGAAAGAGTTACAGGGAAGAGGAATTTGCTAAAGGTGCCTGGCAGATGCCACCATTCTCCATCAGAACAATTTTAGCTAGGAAAAGCCTTACTTGATGTCTAGTTGACCAAATGATGATTCATGAGTCTACTGAATCTGTAAGCAAGCCTCCACCACTAAAATTCAGTAAGTCTCTATGCACACCCGTATGACTGAGTTAGCTTTAGAAGATTGCTGAAACTCAGGCAATCTCCTAAGCAATTTGGGATGTGGTTTATTCCATAGAGAGAAGATTGAATACTTATACAAAATCCTTTTTTCACTGTCAACAAATTCTTTTTTATATCAACATGTCATAAAATAAGCAAAAAACATGAACATCACAGAAACTAGCAGCTACTGAGCTGTTCTTGCTAAGTCCATGGGTAGGCCTATAGCTGCTTCAAACTAAATAATAAGCAAACAAACAAACAAACAAATCTAGGGTTAGTTATCAGTAATTAGGCCCATTTTTTTAAAAAAATAGCAGGTTTTTTTTTTAAGATTTATTTATTTATACAAGAACTGGGGTACAGGCCAGAGGCGCAGGAGGGTGAGAGAATTCACCAGAGACAGAGAGGGGAGCAGAACAGGGAGACTGACTGAAATACACTGCTGAGGGGAGTAGCGGGTGTGACAGGAGAGGTCTGCCACGCTGTGAGGGAATCCCCCTGTCCAGTCGGAAATCAAACCCATGTTGCAGAGGCTCTGGACAGCTTCATAATGCTGAGGTCAACCCGCTGCACCACCGGGGAGGCCCTAATTAGGCACATTTTCTATTTTAATCTAATAATAAAGGCATTACTGTCATTTTAAGAAAAATCTGGAGAAAACCCAGAGGACAGAGTAACCAAGAAAGAGGCTGAGAGTGGCTTCATCTCTTCCCAAGTTACAGGCTTAGTCCCCATTTCTTTCCAATCTTCAAGGCCCAACAAAAATAACTGACTCCTCTCTTCTCCAACACAACCTGTTGCCATACCTAGTTGAGGTTTCTCCCCTCTTCTCTGGCCACAGCTGGGAATCCTTTAAATTCCCCTAGCATTATTGCTGTGTTTCCCTCAGCACTTGGCTTTTTCCTGCTATTTTCCACATTTGATATGTTGAGATCTTATCTCCCTGGCAAACCTGAGTGCTCCTTGAAAGGAAAAACCAGATTCCTAACGTCTATGGCCTGATCCCTCCTCTCCCTTGCTGAGCCGGGAGAGTTAGTTCTGTGTCATGAACCTTAGGACATGCCTTTCCATCTAGCCCTAGAAATCTAAAGACAAAGAATTAAAGTGGGAAGAAATGAAAGGGCAAAGAAGTAGTTGTGTGAAGACCTGTGATACCTTAGGCATCTATACTTTGGAAGGATAGAGTTTGTCCTCAAAAGAGAGCATCCTAATGGAATGCCCTCTTTTTTTTTTTTTTTTAAGATTTATTTATTTATGCAAGAGCTGGGTTACTGACCAGATGCGCAGGAGGGTGAGAGGATTCACCGGAGACAGAGCAGGGAACAGAACAGGCAGACTGATGAAATGCACTGCTGAGGGGAGCAGTGGGCGAGACAGGAGAGGTTTGCCATGCCATGTGGGATGCTTGCCAGCCACCCGGGATTGAACTGGCACTGCAGAGGCTGCAGACAGCTTCACAGCACTGAGCTCAACTGCCTGCGCCACCAGGGAGGCCCATGGAACGTCCTCTTATTTTGAGAGGAATTCAAGTGGACTTCTGTCACTTGTTTTTCCTTAGTGACAGAGACATACCTGTACACCCTCAGACTTGGGCTAGACATCTATGAAACAAGGCCAGGTGCCTGAGACCACCGTTCACAGTCCCTCCCTCTGCATCAGCTCTGCAAGCTCCACACCAACAGCAGAAGGCCATTTGCTGTATAAACCTCCGACTATGGCAAAGTCTCAAACATGAATCTACCAGCTTTTTCCCAGTGGGAACCAGTCCAAAGGTTATTGGCTATATATGCAAATCATCCTGTTCTTGTCCAGAGTTAGTTTACAGTGTTTCTCAAATTTTGCTGCATATTAGAACTACCTGGGGAGCGCTTGGAAAGCCTTATGTTCAGCTGTACCCCATACTGTTTATTTATTTGTTTGTTTGTTTGTTTGTTTAGAGAAAGAAAAAAGTTTATTGAGGAGAAAAGGAACAGAAATAAAGTGGGACTCACAGCCCATGGAACCTTGCCAGGGAGGGTAAAGGAAGCCCACCCCATACTGTTTATTTTATTTATTTATTTATTTTTTTTTATAGAGGCATGTTTTTATTTATTTATTTATTTGTTTGTTTGTTTTGTTTATACATGTACTGGGTACAGTCAGAAGCGCGGGAGGGTGAGAGAATTCACCAGAGCCAGAGTGGGGAGCAGAGCAGGCAGAAGGACCGAAGTACACTGCTGAGGGGAGCAGCGGGCGGCAGGGGGGGTCTGCGCACCATGTGGGACCCTCCTCTGGTGGCCGGGGAGCAGCCGGGGATCGAACTGGCGCCGCAGAGGCCGCGGGCAGCTTCGCAACCGAGCGCTCAACCGCTGCGCCACTGGGGAGGCCCCACCCCATACTGTTTAAATATGAATCTCTGGGAATGGATTCTGACATCACTGTTTTGAAACTCTATCCTGTGATTTCAATGTGCCACACTGACAAGTGGTTTCACCCGATCTATTGCAAATGTTCACTCTGCAGTGATATTGTTAGAGAACACCAGCTCATTCAGAAATGAACTCATGACTGCAGCAATGTGAGAGGCTTACCTGAGATCACCTGAATGACTGAGTATCTCGGTGTGGGGAAGCCATTCTACAGCATCTCCACATTTTTTCTCTTCTCTGTAATTTTTTAGGACCTACTAGCATCTCCACCTTAAAGTTAATAAGTGGGGAGAGGAGCACCACTGACTGTTGATTAGAATCACTGGGAATATTAAAACACATCTATGCAGGGCCCCTAGCTCAGAGAAGCTGCTCAATGGACTGGACTCCTTAATGTGTGATTTCCAAATTACCAGCACCTGCAGCACCTGGGAGTCTCAGGCCCCACCTCACACCAAATGAACCAGAGACTCAGAAAGAGGGGAGGGGAGAAATCTGTGTCTTAATAAGCCTCCCAAGGAATAATGACTACAAAGAAGTTTGGGAACTGGCCTACAGCACAGGCTCCAGTGATTTTGAAGACATCCAAAGACTCATGGGTTATGTAGTACTGGCTTTGGTTGCTGACAACTGTCTCTTAATTGCAGTTCCCTTGACCTCCCAAAGTCCAAGCTTCCATGAGAAAGAGGGCCTTTCATGGTGAGTAGGAGAGCTCTTGCATTATGTCTAAAAATAATAGATTTGGTGTTGGCAAGTTCACTCATTTTAACAACTGGATTAGTAAAGCAGTAAAGCAGTAAAGCCTGTCGAACCACTCAAACATTTGTGAATAAAATGTCCTATCTTCATCATATCCCCATCAAACGAATCGACTTTCTTCCAAATATCAAACAGCTAATTATCAGTGACTTCATAGCCAATTATAACCCTTTTTTAGTCAATAGTATGAAAGTTATATGAATATAAAGCATCTCTTCATTTTGAAATGGGCTTTTGGTTCAAAGTTTTATGCTTTAGCTGGATTTTCAACTCATCCTTCAGAGAGAACTGAATATTTAAAAAGCTCAGTTTTTATTTGTGCAAAGATGACATTTAGAATTCTAGCTTTCATGCTAGCATAGAAGTCAGTTTCAAGTCAGGATAAAAGCCTCTGGCAAGATATGTAATAAATGGAATCTTTAGATGAACATTGACTCATACTTTACATAGAGGAAGTTACTATGCAGTGACTTTGGCTTCAAAAAGTAGCAAAGAGGCTGGTTGTTCACTTCTTGGACTGTGTTTGTTTTGGCTGAGTTTGGGGATGAGAACTATCACTTACCTCCTTTGGTCCTTCAATGACGTTTCATCAGAAAGGGGGTAATCCTATGAATCACTCTGTGTTTCTGAGAGTCTTTGATGATATATTATTGGTGTGGTATAAAAGATCTACTAACAGGGCCTCCCTGGTGGTGCAGCGGTTGAGCGAGCGCTGGGTTGTGAAGCTGCCCGCAGCCTCTGCAGCACCGGTTCTATCCCTGGCTGCTCCCCGGCCACCGGAGGAGGGTCCCACGTGGCGCGTAAACCTCTCCTGCCGCCCGCTGCTCCCCTTAGAAGTGTACTTCGGTCCTTCTGCCTGCTCTGCTCCCCGTTCTGGCTCTGGTGAATTCTCTCACTCTCCTGCGCTTCTGACTGTACCCAGTGCTTGTATAGATAAATAAAAATAAATCTTAAAAAAAAAAATCTACTAACAGCCTTAGAAAAAAGTGGTGATTGAGATTGCAAGCATGCCCCTTTCTATCCATGCATCAAAGTCAACAGAGCTGTTAACTCACAGACAGCTGTGAGGACCCCAGTCAGCTTACTGAGAGCTTACCTCGAGGACAGTAGATGTCGGGAGCCCATCGGTTGCATTCATAATTGTCTGCTGCCTTTTCGCAGGTGAAACATTTAAATCCACCAGGGTACGGTGTGGCTATAAAAAGGATCAAGAGAAAAGATTAATTTTTTAAACTGAACAGAATTGTGCATCAGAAAGTTAGACATTTTAATTTTCTAAAAAGAGTTCTCAATACTGCCTGACAGTTTCTTAAAAAACTAAATATGTAACTACCATATGATTCAGCAATTGCTCTCGTGGGCCTTTATTCTGAGAAATGGAAAGTTTATATTCACACAAAAACCTGTACACAAATGTTTGCTGCAAATTTTTTCATACTAGCCAAAAAACTGGACACAACAGAGAGTTCCTTCAATGGGTGAATGGTCAGAAAAATTGGTGCAGCCATACTATGGAATGTTAGACAGCAATAAAAATGAACAATTCAAAAAAAATGAACTATTATGCATTCGATGACCGAGATGAATTTCCAGAGAATTAAGCTGTGTGGAAAAAAGTCAATCCTATGATGCTATACACACACACACACACACACACACACACACAGAGGATTCCATTTATATAGCATTTTTTAAATGACAAATTTTAGAAATTAAATGAAGGAAATGGAAGTTGCCAGGACTTAGGCGACACTCCTACAGGGCCTCTCAAACCATATCCGGAGTCTGTAGGTCAGCATGCTGAGGGCATGTGGGGTTGTGGCTGCATTGCAGGTTCCTACTTCCAGCAGAGGGACGCCCTGCTCCCCAGCCTGGAGGCTACATCTTACTTCCTGAAGAGACCGTCCTGTAGGTGCCCATATTCTTTGCCTTGCATGTACACGCAGGCCAGCAGATATCCCATGAGAGTCATGCTCTAGAGAGAGCCCAGCACAACTAGGGTCTTGCAGGCACTTAAGGGTGAAGATCCACAAGGAGTCAGGCCAGGCTGTTCGCCATCCTTTTGACCTGGTGTTTTCATGTTTTGCTTCATTCTAATAATGTGCTTGCTTTGCCACTTAGAGTTTTGCCTTCATAAACAGGACTTGTCCGTGTTGTGTTTTTTTTTTTTAATTTGTAAAATTACCTGGCCTCTTTGAAAGCTGCAAACACTCCAACACTTCATCTGTAGGAGCCAACTGTTCTCCCTCACAGATGGCTGAGCCTGCATATCCCACTGGCGGAAATAATCATCTCAGGGTAAATTGCTTTGCCCACATGGAACCAATTAAGTATGTTATCAAAAATAAATGAAGGAGGAGGCAGCAGCTTAAGGCCAGAATTATGGGCCAGATATAACTTTGATTTTCACCTTGCCTAGAGTATCGGCCCATCCTTGCAACTTGCTTGCAATATTTCACAGAGCTGACTCTGATAATATCCAATAACTTAACATGATCAAAAGTCATACTGTCTGAAAAAATGTAGGTAACTGGACCTTTCTATGGGGCCACTGATAGTTCTATTCCTCCAAATAGTTGGTGATTCAAATTCATAAACAGAATGAAAGCAGTGCATGGACCATCTTAGAAAATGAGGAATGAGAAACAGCTTAGACAGTCATCCAACCAGTTCATTTCCAATGAGAACATTTCTATATAGGGAAAAATGCTCACTCTATCATATAAGATAATCAGCAGAAGTGAATTATTTTGTAAACACACACACATAATTTTAATATCCCTCATATCCTACCATCTAAATAGGTGGGTTACATTTGAGTTGAACTATTAAGTTGAGTACATGCCTAAAGAATTTGAAACAGTTTGTTAAATTTCAAAACCATGCAATATCCTTATGGATGCTTATTTTTTATAAATACCATTCTGGAAAAAAAAAAAACGCACAAAATTATCTTAGAAAATTATCCTAGCTCTTTCCTTTTGTGGACATCGCTGAAACCCCAGTGGTCAAAATGAAGTTCAATCCCATCATGAATTCTGACCTGAGCAAGAATTGTAAAAGGCATTTCAATGCACCGTCCCACATTTATAGGAAGATCATGTCTTCCCCTCTTTCCAAATAGCTGAGACAGACATACCAGGTCCAATTCATGCCCATTCAGAAAGATGATGAAGTTCAGGCTGTTTGAAGACACTATAAAGGGCAGCAAACTGGCAGAGTAGCCCAGGCTTATAGGAAGAAAGACATTGTCTACACTGAACAAGTGCAACTGTTTGGGTGAGCCTTCACCCCACCAAGGTTGGTATCACTAGGCTAAAACTGGCAAAGACCTCAAAAAGGTCTAAGAGCTCAAAGCTAAATCTTGCCAAGTAAGAAAGGAAAAGGACAAATACAAGGAAAAACAATTGAGAACATGCAGGAATAGAGTAGTTTTATATACAACTTTCATTAAAAACTGCCAAAATAAAAAAATAAATTGTCCCAGTTGGATAAACTCTGATGGTTTGATGGTTTCACTATCAACTTTAAAATATTTAATATATACATCTGAAATAGCTTGTAAAATCTTAAGTAGAATTATCAGTGTGAGTTTTAAGAAAAAAATGTAAATGATTAGTCAAAGAATAGTTTTGCTCAAAAAATGATCATGACGCTAAGGTTTATGAGTGCAAGCTAGCTGTACCTCTTCAGCTTGCATGATTAATTCACTAGAGTATCCAATTTTATCTGTCTGTCATTGAAGCCAGCAAAACTTAGCTGGAATGTTGAATTAGTTATTCCTGGAAACTCTCCCATCAAGGAGATAAATTAAGAAATTTGAATGAAGATTGACGATCCAGCCACTCCAAAAACACAAGTATTAAAAACCCAGCACTAATAAGTTGTAGTGTCCCAAAATATAGATTATAAAATAGACTCTTCAAAATTATTTTATCACTGACATATTAAAGACTGTGTCATTTCTTATAGTATGTAGGTCTGGGCTCTGAGAAAACTCCAAGTATATTGAAATAACGACAGGAATATGAGCTTAAACACTATGGAACCAGGGCCTCCCCTGGTGGCGCAGCGGTTGGGCACTGGGCTGCGAAGCTGCCTGCAGCCTCTGCAGCGCCAGTTCAATCCCCGGCCACCAGCAAGGGTCCCACATAGTGCGCAGACCTTTCCTGCTGGGCCTGCTGCTCCCCTCAGCAGTGTATTTTGTCAGTCTGTTCTGTTCCCTGCTCTGGCTCTGGTGAACTCTCTCACTCTCCTGCACTCTGACTGTACCCGGTGCTTGTATAAATAAATAAACAAATCTTTAAAAAAAAAAAAAAAAAGCTATGGAACCAAAATAATGCTATGTTGCAAGTCTCTGAACATGATTAGCAGTACATATCATTAGCAATTTAGACATATAATCTCATTTTTGGTGACTTTATTTGAAAATCTACTAGCTCATATCTGTGATTTCTCAATGATGGCAATCTAATATTTGCCAATGATGGCAATCTAATATTTGCCATATAAGAACTTATATTTTCATGTTGGCAGAAATTACTACTGACCAGCAAATACTCAAACCCTTTTCAGCCCGACAACCCCCTGAGAGCAGTTTTAAGCGACTAATTATAGCACAATACAAAGTAAATGGTGAAATTCTTCTCTCTGGAAGTAGCCAAAAGGTCTACAATGAACAAAAACTATCTTCAGTAACTTGCTAATTGATACTGCATCTGATAAAGAAGATTTTTTTAAAGGAAGGAAACAGTTCCTAAGAGATATGCTATTTTCTTCTTTTTCACTTCAAAGCAGTACAGAGCAAGTAGAGTTTCAAATTGTGGCCCCAGCTGTGAATGAATCTAATTTGGCTCTTGATCACAGAGTTAATAAGCTTAGTACTCTGTATTTCAGGGCATAAGTCCTTGGTCCCTCAAGAGAAGGTGATTGTAATGAAAAAGAAAAAACGACAAAGTGCCTAGTTACTTCCTGTAACATAATCTGCCCATTAACTCTCATGGTCAGCTATAGTTCAACCGACCATAATTCATTTGTAAGGCATCAGAAAAGATTTCATCTTTGTTCCCATCTCTTGGAACTTTCGCCTGGACAAAGGCCTTCAGTTACCAAAACTATGGTGGGAAGAGAATCTTATTTTGAAATGTCTGATAATATATAATGCATCCAAACTTTGTTTATATTCTTGCCAAATTAATATTCATTGTTTTTGGAACTGGCTGCAAATATAAAATTTCTAGAAAGTTAATAATCTGATCTTCCTTTCAGCGTGCAAAGCAAAAAATATTGTTAATATAATATTTTGTTAGCTTGTTTTGTTGTCCTTTTTATTTTTTATTTATATATACTTTACATCATTCTTCATTTTTGTACAGTGTATGCTTTCTCCTCTCAGTTGTAGTTCCCATAAAATTCCCATCACAAATTCACCCTTGCACCATTACCATAGTCCCTTGTGCTCTTCCCACCCCTATTCTGATCCCTCTCCCTGCCCCTCCCCTGCAAAATGTCTCTAATGTATAGTTGACTGTTTATTTTGTATTTTTTATTTATTATAATTATTTTCATTGTTGTTTTTTCATTGAAATGACTGATTTACAACACGGTATAGGATTCAGAGGTTCAGGATCATATCAGATATATGTTAACACTAATCACCCATCATCAAGACAACCATAGTCCTTCTCTGCCATCCATAGGACACCCTCTATGTCCTGCTCTCTCCACCCTTCTCCCCACCTCCAGCCTATCCCCGCTTCAGTTCTACAGTCAATATAATTTTAAAACACGAACATAGTTCTGATTGAAATGCAATTCCTGGTACCTTTCTAGAAAATCTCATTATTTCCTAAGATTTAGAATTATGAGAAAACTTCACAGGCTCTCTATCTGCACATAAACAACTCCCCTGCAAAGATCTAGCTCTTTGGTCCACAGGATTAAGAAAAGACTCAGAATAAGCAACCAGAGGAAAATTGGCTTTCTTAGAAGAAGCTTCTATTACAAGGAAAGAAATGGAGGCCAAGAACAGTTGAAGCCACTTATGAATGAAATTCTGCTATCTCATGATATCCACAACCAAATAAGTAGCTCCATTTCTCTTAACACGAAATCCTCTTTTGAAGGCTTTTAATTAGGTTTTGGAACTTTAATCAGGGGCTGGGAAGAAATTCATTCATTTTGAACATAAAAACATACATACAAATTATAGGAAAGCATATTCCTGGGAGCAGAGCCTCAAGTTTGAAAGCCATAAAGTTTATTTCCTTTAAAGGCTTAGAAAACTTCAAAGATTAGGGAACCAGAAAGCAAAGGAGATTAGTCATGGCAGGTTCAACTTTCTCAACCTGGGTTCTAATCTCATCCCATTAATAATCTCTGAGATCTGTTCAGGTCATGAGAAAAGAGTGTGTGTTTTCTCATGTCTCCAGCATCACTGCATTTCTCTTTGGGCAGGTTCTGAGCAGTATCTAACTTTAATGGAATCCAGCTCACTTGCTGCCCCCATCTCCCAAAAAAGATGTTTGTGCCTCCATCTAAAAAGCAAGGTGATTCTTTAATAATTTAAAATCAAAATAATCCATGCTTCCCTCATATATTTTTAATGATGTGTGTTCTACAGAAATCTTTGTAGAAAAATCACTCCATCGAAATATGGTCCAGTGGGTGCAGCTCAGGGCAGAGGACCATGACCATTTAAAAAATGAAAGTGTGAAAACAACCAAAAAAAACCAAAAACTTCTGAACTAGCTCAGAGAAATGCGAAGTGAACTCTGCTTTAAAGTGGGCAGAATAAACAAAGTTCTGCCCATGTAGGGCCTGTTGGCAGTAGCTTCAATCCAGCAAGAACTTGTACTTGCTAAGGATAGGCTAGGGAAACTGAAAGACAATTCAGCTCCCACCCGCTATGAAGGGTCTATATGCAATCTAGCTTAGGAGTGACTTCTCTGTGCTTCTCCATGTCTCAAAATCTTACCAGAAAATTCCAATGATTCTTTGTGTATGGTGAGTGCTTTTTAATCTAGCCAGGGCTTCATTTAATTAACACTGGTCACGTGCGTGGAACTTTCCTCAACTTCAAAAGAGCACAAGTGATTCCTGCTCTGATCTGGCAGAGCTCATCCTTCAAAGAGTCTATTCTGAAATGGCATGACTTTCCCAAGAGAGATCCCTCCATCCAGGCAGGGGCCCACCACACCACTAAGGAAAGAGTGGTCGATGCATGTTTGTTTTGCTCATGTTCACTGAGGTCCCATCCTCAGTTTTCCTCCCCACCCTGTGAGGGCAATCACAGCCTTAGAGAATGTTCGCTGTCAGCCTGCTTTTCATTCCCAAGTGACTACTGAGTCTGTCACTAAAGCAGACAAATGATCCCACCAAAAAAAAAAAAGAAAAAAAAGAAAACCCTGACAATCAAACCTAAGAATATAGGTTTTGTTCACAAAGTCTAATTTTGAAAAGTATGGTTCTTTGGGGAAAAGAATAAAATCTCCAATCCTGGAGATAAGCAAACACAAGACACCTTCTTTTCATGAATCTTACTAAATCAAAGCAAATCCATGCAGAAACAAGCAGCCAGGTAAGCTTCCCCCAAATTAATCAGTAGGCACCAGAATAAACTGGTAAGAGCATACAGTAGTGATGAGTTCAACTATTTGCTGCTTGTCAAAAGTATACTTGGAGTTAAAATACCAGTGAAGTATTTTTAGCACCCTCAGTTTGCTATCTAAACCAATTACAACACCATCATAAACAACAACCATCCAATTGCTATTATGTAAATACCAAGAGTTTTTTCGATATTGTTTCTGGTCCACAAAATAATGCTACAGAATGTGTATTATTTCATATATTTTAGAAATGTGTAAATAAACACTTAAAAAGATTCCCAAACCTTTATTGAACTTTTACATTTTCTCACACTCAGTGCTAAGAGATTTTTATGCTTTCTTTTATTAAATCTTCACAAAGTTAGGGAATTAATTTCAAATCCAAAGGCTACAAAGCAACATGTGTATTCCTCGGACCAGCACTTATCTAAACCAAAGTATACAGGTGTTAAATAATCTACCTATGAGGTATCCAAGGAGTAGATTAGAGATGGTACCCAATTTGTAGATTCTAAGGTTCTCAAAAACAAGGACTGCTTTATTTGCCTTTATGTCTCCATGCTGTCCCAAGGCTTGACACACAGGAGACACTCAAAAAATATTTGTCTAATATAACATCTCAAAAGAGTAATACATCTCTAGCAAAATGTTAAAGGTAAAAATATAAACATAGTTAGTTCTTACCACCACAAGGGCAACCCAGAAAGGATTTCAACAAAAATAAAAGAGGTGACATAAATACAGAGATTGTAGTGAAAGGAGGATGGGAAACTTCTGTGTTCTCAAAGTGTGATCCTTAGCATACTGGGAGCAGTTGCACCCAAAATTCTTGCTAAGGGTTAAAAACCATGGGTACAGCTCCAAATATATGCAATCAGACACTCTAGGGAAGGGATATGGCCATCTACATATTACACACGCCCTAGATAATTCTTAAACACAGGAAACCAAAACAGATAGGAAGCAATTACTTTGCAACAGAGAATTAGATGCACAGACAGGAAGACCAGATAATATCTTGCCTATAAAAGATGATCTTTAGCAAACACCTTTTTTCTAGTACATGGCGGTTCCCTTTGATAAATGACTGAGTGCTGGCACAAGTCAAAGGGAAGGTGTTCACAATCAGAGCAATTGTGTAGGAAACAGAGAAAATGAGCCTAATAATTTGCCTTAAAATGTATAAAATCAACCCCACTTTCCCATAAAAAGGTGAGAGTAAAAATAGAGCATCTTTGGTAGCACCTGCACTGCCAGTTAACCCACCAAAATTTCCCCTGTATTGAAGGTTGTCTTGTCCTGGCCATTTTTCAACGCGTGTCTTGAAATAAAATGACATTTCCGCAGCAAAGAGAACAGAGTCTTACTTGAAGGGTGGAGGTAGATTATGTCTTTCACTGTGAAGTCTCGGGACTGAGCAGCTTTCAGACAATCAGCCAGCAGGCTCAGCAGCAGAAGCCAGGCCAGGGCAGGGCCAGGTTCCATGGCAGACCGAGGTGTCACTCATACAGGGGGCCCGGGAGAGGGGACTGAGGATGACTGAAGAGAACTTGCACCTGAAATAGGAAGCAAGATGCATCTGAGTGTCTGACTTAAAAGCCCTTGGAGACTTGGCTAAGTTCCTATGTTGGTGGGGTGAACTGGAGAGGAACAGAGTTCTCAGAGCACAAAGGAAGTGAGGGTACACAAAGAAATTTTGGTTATTTTAGAGCATTTAAAAAATTCCAGCCAAATCTACACTATTCTCAATCAGGTTGCAAATGCTCCATTGGTAGCAGTTCCCATAAGATTCAGCAGAGATGGTATCAAGAGAGATTGACTTTTAATGAAATTCAGCTATTTTTGCCAGGAGGCCAAGGGACGGTTGCCAGAATGCAACAATAAATAAGTCAGGTACAAAACTCAGAGGCATTTCCCTGATAATGGCAAAAGCCAGGCAGAAGAGCTCAGCCTCACCAGGTCATGTTGCCCTTGCAAACTTGTACAGATTTTCAGATTTGGGGGGATAAAGAAATATGCGTAAATTCGGTGTCACCCAAACCAAAAATTATCTTTATTGTTCAATATCTTTTTACTCCATAACTAACACTATTGACAGGTACTGTTGAAGTCCTGTACATGTATCAATTTATCCTCCTAACAATCCTACAAGGTGGGTGCTATTATCGCATTTTGAATAAACTGAAGTTCAGCAAATAAGTAAAGGAGGTGACACAAAACCAGGCAGTCTGGCCATTGGGTCCACATTTTTTTTTTTTTAAGATTTATTTATTTATTTATTTATACAAGCACTGGGTACAGTCAGAAGCACGGGAGGGTGAGAGAATTCACCAGAGCCAGAGCAGGGAGCAGAGCAGGCAGACTGACGAAGTACACTGCTGAGGGGAGCAGCGGGCGGCAGGAGAGGTCTGCGCGCCATGTGGGACCCTCCTCCGGTGGCCAGGGAGCAGCCGGGGATCGAACCGGCTCTGCAGAGGCTGCGGGCAGCCTTGCAACCCAGCGCTCAACCGCTGCGCCACCGGGTAGGCCCTGGGTCCACATTTTTAACCCTTTGCACTCCGCTGTCCCCTCTCAGGGGACATCGGAATTCTAGCATATCACTCGGATGTCCCCTCTCAGGGGACATTGCAATTTATTAGTGATTACGGGGAATTGAGTTATTTCAACGCAACTTTTTGAGACATGCATGTTTCCCTTAAGTTTTATCTTGAAATGGCACAAGAAATTAAATGAAAATATCGTAAAATTACTAAGATATATACAAGAAATGTCAGCAGGTTTTGTGTCAGACGAGAACGTGAGATGCGTGCTCACGACAGTCCGAGCACTTCGCGACGCCACTTGAAAAGAGCGATAAGGGGAGTTTGTAGAAGAAAGGTCGGTTTTCGAACATAGCGCGCACTATACAGTGAGATATATAATTACAAATAAACAGGTCTACATCTGGAGGAAAAGATTTTCAAAGCTGAGCTCATTTTGGTTTGAAGCTTCAAGCAGTGCACATAGATCTAACGAGGAGAAAATCGGAAAAGTGATTCTTTTCTTAGTGAATAAATTGTTTGGTGAAAGCTATTTTGGTAAATATCATCTTGTCAGTTAGTAATAACAATTAGAAATTTTCAACCCATGCATTTATTCACATTTTTTATTAGAACAATGGCAAAGTGTCCAACCACAAATGAGTCTCATGACACTAGTAGTAGTGAAGATGAGCTCCAGATAGACCTCTATACAGACATGTCAAACATGCACTAATCAGCCTGCAATGCATATTGGGGAGTGTTACAAAACTTATCATACTGTACAAAATTATAAACAATAAAATATTGTTTTTTTTTGCAAATATACATTCCTCGATGTCACCCAATTCATATAAGTCCAATATCATTATAATACGTTACTTGGTTCCAAAATTATACTAAATAATACGAGGGTCTGTAAATGCACGTTTCCGCCGCAAAGTAGCGTCAAGTACCTGGTAGCCAATGTCCAGAATGGTTCGGAGTGCAAAGGGTTAAACACTAGTTGACACTGCACTCTTCCAAAGACTGCTGTGTTAATAGCGCTGAGACTTAACCCCTATGTCACTAGGGAGGCCCCAGAATGATAGGAAGTTTTAAAATAAATATAGAAAATGGAAAAACCTAAGGAAATCAGAAATAGATTCAACAATTTACATGATACAAGCAATATTTCCAAATTATAAAACAGGAAAATAATAAATAGCATTAACATACCTTGATTAAATTGTGAATAAGGTCCAGTGAAACCAAACATTGCATGGTACAGTAAAATTAATTCCAGATGGATTGGTGTGCTCATTACATTTTAAAATACATATTGTCAAAAAATAGAGGAGAGCACTTATTATCTTGTAATAGCCCGAAGATGCCTATTTCATTCTCACTTGCCATCTTTGGTTTATATTTTGGTCCTCCAAGTAAACATGCATTCACTTAGTAAATGTGACTGCCAGGCATTATGCTGGGCACTTAATGAACAACGTGATAAGAAAACAATTATCAGTGATATCTTTCCCTGGCTGAGTGACAAAGTCAAGCATGATCTCATCTTATGTGAATGCAGTATTCTTTGTTGTACATCCCTTTGGTCAGTGGATGCTGCACCTGCAGGACCAATATGTAAGACCCCACAGTAACCTAGCTGCACCTCATTAATCTTTCCATTTTCACACAATTTGTGGCAGGGCTCAGTTTGAGAGGGATGTCGAATAAAGCTATGTAGTTTTCTTTTTGTATAATTCACCTTTAAATATCAACTAGTGGGGCCTCCCTGGTGGCATAAGGGGTTAAGACGCAACGTATGAAGCTATCTGCAGCCACTGCAGCACCAGTTTGATCCCTGGCCAGGGAGCACCCATATGGTGCAGCAGACCTCTCCTGTCTTGCCCACTGCTCCCCTCAGCAGTGCATTTCGGTCGATCTGCCTGTTCTGTTCCCCACTCTGTCTCTGGTGAATCCTCTCACCCCCCACACCTCTGGCCTGTACCCCAGTTCTTGCATGCAAAAATAAATAAATCTTTAAAAAAATAAATATCAACTAGTTGCCAACCTGTGTTCTTTTTAAGGTGAAACTTGATGTCAACACTAGTATTCCATGTATATCAAACATGGCCTCCCTTTAGTGTTGTGGCCCAGGTGTTCTTCACAGCAGAATATGGGGCAAAGAGTACAGCTGCTAAGACTTTATTTGCTCATCCCAATATCTTGGGGATGAGAAAACCCAAGACAAAGAAGTGAGAGAGGGGAGAGAATGAGAGAAAACATAAAGCAATGCGACCCTGTGGTTATTCCAGGATCACCACTTCACAACAAGGCAAAAGAGGTAGAAGATGGCAAGGGAGACCAGCCAGCATGTTAGTGTGCTCATGGAAAGGCAAGGAAGAAAATGTATCTGCCTGGTGCCTTCCTGTCCCTTGTTTCTCACTGATCAAGGTTCACTCCCCAACATTTCAACAGTTGGTGTGGAGAATCAACACAGTGTGGATGGATCACTGGCCAAGAAACAGAATGGCGGGAACTGTCACAGGAATCTAGGAAAACACTCAAGTTTTGTCTCTAGTCATGTGTATTAATCCTTACAGACTCTAAATCGCTTTTTTCCCCCCAAAGGATTTTGCTATTTTTATTGTATTTAAAACTATTTTTTATTGGATCCTACTATGAAGCCCTTTGAAGCACCAGCCCTGTGTGGCTGTGTAGGCTGCATATCCAGAAAACCACACACTCTACCTAGGTTGCATGGCCCAATTTGCCATATTGATTTCCCAAGACACAAGTTTTTTTAAATTATATCATATTTTTATTGAAGTAACATTGGTTTAGAAACCGTATAGGGCCTCCCTGGTGGTGCAAGCTTCACACAACCTGTAAAGCTATCCTCAGCCTCTGTAGCATGAGTTCAAACCTGGCCAGGGAACTACCTACATGGCACAGCAGACCTCTCCTGACTCACCCACTGCTCCCCTCAGTGTCCCGACCCGTGGGATTCATAGGCAGGAAAAGAGAAGGGCTGAGGATTGAAATGAGGGGCTTGAGGCAACTTGACGCTAGCGGTTGCTTCTTTATTTTTCCTTTACCTTCTCTTACTTTTACATGTCTTTCTTTTCCCTGTCTTTCTACCTTCCCTGACCTTCTCTCTGCTCCTCTCGCAGTAACCCCCTGACCTTCTCGTGGTTCTCTTCTTATATCCTGGTAGCTCCTCCCATCATACCTCCCAGTCTCATTTGATTAACAGGAAAAACCTGTGGTTTCTCAGAAGGCCAAACGGTAAAGCGAAACTTAATTGATGGCACGTGTTGTGCAACTGCGCATGCTCCGGACACCTCAGCAGTGTATTTCAGGAGATCTGCCTATTCTGTTCCCCACTCTGTCTCTGGTGAATCCTCTCAATGCCCACTTCTGGCCTGCACCCCAGCTCTTCTATGCATAAATAAATAAATCTTTAAAAAATAAAAAAATGAAAAAAAAAAACTGTATGATTAAGGGGTATAGGTTCACATTATCTCCAATTGTAAGTTACCACACCACACCCACCACCAAGACACCCATATTCCTCCACTATAATCTATTGGGCCCCCTATCCCCAATGTGGTCCCCAACCCTCACTTTCTCCCTCTTGTGGCCTCAATTCTACAGTTAGATTTCTAGGGTTTGTTTTGGTGTAGATTTATCTGATGCTTTCTTTTGTTTCTTTATATTCCACATAAGTGACTTAGGGTAAAGTTTTCAAGGCTCATCCATGTTGTAACATGAATCAGTACCTCATTTCTTTTTATGGTTGAATTATATTTCACTACTTGGATATAACACGTTAGTTTATTCATTATTTGACTGATAGACATTTGGGTGGTTTCTACTTTTTGGCTATTGTGAATAGTACTGCTATTAACATTCATGTGCACGTTTTTCTATGGCCATGTGTTTTTAATTTTCATGGCTATAAACTTAGAAGTGGAATTCCTAGGTCTTATGGAAGGGAAATTGCCCAACAGTTTTCCATGACACGTGTACCATTGTACACTCCTATTAGCAAA